GCCATTTTGATTTTGACTACCTTATTTTTGTATAATTTTCTATCACTTCAAGTTTGTAACAATGATCTATACAGGATGTTACAAATGCACAAAACTCATCAGCTTTAAAGTTCATGTATTATGTAATTTGTCAGAAGAGCATTTTTGGTTCAGGTATTATCTATCCAAGCTCAGCTAATGGAAAGTTCTCCAACAGTTCTTCACAAAAGGGCTATAAGCAAAGTACTTGCCTGAGCACAAGGGAAGTATTTTGCAGCAAAAACCCAAAACAGTTAAATTCCCAGTTTTTATAAGAGATTTTTCACATTTATAACTTTGTGGTTATGACTTGCTGCTTTGTTCCCAGAGGACTACTTAAGACATTCACAGTTTGATAAAACTTCTGAATGTTTGCCCTGGGACATGGAAAAGGGGTCTCTGGAGACCCATTAAATAATTAAATGACCAGGAAAGTGAAATTATCCCAGGGAAGTGGTCTAAATGTTTGCATAGTGTGTTTGATAGAGGACACTCTTTTCCATATTAAACACCGTTTCCACTCATTTTTCCATACCAGTTTTCAAAGATGTGATTTTCAAAAAACGATTTAAAAGTGGATGCACTCCCCTCTCAGACAAACCTTTCTCTGCTAAACTACTGTAAATTTAAATCTCTTTAAGTTGCTGTTGAAGAATGTTGTACTTACATTTTCCTCTTTCTCACGTAATAACCATATAATCTGTTACAAATATACATTTTAGACACTTACCACTGGAGATCTTGATTTATTTGTTAATTTGATGTTATTTTGGTCAGAGTAGTGGTTTGTTTGACTTACGGCATCTATACAACAGAAGGAGGTCCTTTGCTCATGTAGCTGGGATAGCATCTGGGAAAAAGAAACTGCAAAGTACGTGCTATAAAGTAGTTGTCTTGATTTTTTTCCATCATGTCCTTGTCAGGATTTGATACACCTCTAGGTCAATGGGATTCTTTCCATTCATTTCCGATCTGCATAGGAAGGCGTCCTGTTTACTACCTGCTCCACTGAACTTGGATGATCTACAAAATGCCATGGAGGTGCCTCTGAAAGTCGTACCCTTCCTGAAGAGTTGCTGCTAACATGAACAGTCCCAGGGACTCTATAAATACCAACCCAGAGTAAGAATTTTGGGGGGTAAAAAAATGTTCTGTTGGTTATGGCTTTCTTCATGTGAGGGCTATTTTAGCAGTAACGGCTAAGAAGACAAGACTCACTTCAAGAAATTATTTTCAAGAGTGCTACGAGGATGCGAGTGAGCTTGTACGGCAAACTGGCACAGGTATGGAAAAAGTGTGGAGTCACAAGCAGGGAATAGGGTTGGAAAGAACGATTTATGTTCCGCTACATTTCAAAGACAACCATACGCAAATGAGCAAACATGCTTCAGGAAAGCAAATCTGTAACTAACACTCAGGAGCTGGACAATCCTTGCCCTCAAATCAAATTTATTTGGGAATATCATCATAGGAAATACGGACAAATACAGCAGAATAAAAACACACAGTTGTAGATCGCCTTGTTGAAAATTAAATAAAAAAATACCGGCTAGATCATAACCCATAACAATATTACATAATATATCTGTCAGATATCTCAAGATAAAAATACAAAATAAAACTCTTGAGGGCTAATCTATAGCTACAGCTCCTTAGTGTGCTCAATGCAGGGGTACATGCCCATAATGCTGTGGGAGAGATGCATATACAAACACCATTTCTTATGGCCCCATGCAGTGTTTTGGTAGCGCAGCCTTAGAGGTTTCAGAGATAAACTACTGTTCAGGGAGAGGCCCTCCTAAGAAGCCTTTTGTCATCCAAACGTGAATTTCACCCCAGGTCAAAGCCTTAACTAACACGTGTTGGCTATATCAGTCTCCTCCACCAAAGAAAATTTCCCCTCATCCAAACAACACACTAAGCTTCGGGTCATGTCCAGGTAAAGTCTTGCTAAGAATAAAGGAAGAAAGAAACAGAATCAGCTGGCATTAATGAAAAACTAAGGACTCTTCTTCTTGTATTTCAGTAACACCTACCACAGTGATTAAAACTGAATACAAAAGAGCAAATAGGATTTTTCATACACAAATCACATTTCTATATTAATGAATGAGTTCTGCAGGCAATGAGTGCCTCCCGTGAGATCAGGAGCTCCTTCTAGTTTCTGCAATGGGAGATCCTGGTGCCGGCTATAATAACAGGACACTGAGAGCCCCCCCAGGATGCTCAGAGTACTCTGCAGTTATAATTTCTGCTTGTATTTCCAGGAGAAAATTCTTGCAGAATATATAAATCAGGCTGGGATAGAGACACAGAAATAAAAGTCAAGTTCAACTATGGCAAAAGTCTGAAATTGAAAACACAATAAAAACACTAAATTCTGATTGCTCCAGACTTTCAGTCTCAGTGAATCATAAATTACAATGTTGAAGAAAACTCCGTAACAAACAAATACCTAACTAGCTTAGTTTTTAAAGATATCAGTCGTCTTTTCTTCTTTACAAATTTGGTGGGAACTGTGGATGCTCAACATACCTGAAATAAGGTCCCGAGTCCTCAGATCTTAAACAAGATTTTCCACTGCCATAGCATATGGCAATTTACAATTAAAAAAAAAGTCTGTTATGACCATTATGTTTCTTCTCTTGTCTTAATGACAATAAGAAGCCATAAGATGGTTTACATTTTATTATAAAGGAAAAAAAAAAAAAAGGAATCCAACATTCCCAAAAAGGATGCAAAGGTGCACGGAGTGGTCCAGGCTACTAATAATTTGCTCAAACACTAGCAGAGAATATATAAATTCTTAACTCTTAGCAAAAAATAGCGATTGCGTTATAACATATATGATACAATTTCATTCGTTAACATTTCATTCGTTAACTGCACTGTACAGAAATTTGTCCATGCTAAATACAAGCCCTGGACCAGATACACAAAACAATTTAAATGCACTTTTTACATCCTATATGCACAAACATTTCTTAAGTTAAAACTACGCACACTACTTGTGCATAGCGTGTATATGGCTTACATATTCAATGACAGGAATTCCACCTTTTGGCATGCCCTTATCCCAGGGCTTGGAGCTCGCACTGTTCCCAGATCAATTTCAATTGCTCCGCTGTCAGAAAAGAGACAGTCAACAGATACGGACATGGAAGTGTCCCTCGGTCTAGGGTGACTGTTTTACCATTCCTTCTTCAGTCGGGGCAAAGCGTGACCTTGTTGAGGTTGAGCCTGATGCCTGTTGAGCTCCGGTTCGATCCCTGAAGCAGCAGATGAAGAGCACATAGGTCTCAATTGTCCATTGGCCTCTGCATAGAGGGCAGTGCCACCGCCCCCACGAGTCCTCTTCAGAGTGGACCATGGCTGATCGTAAAGACTTTTTGGTCAGTGAGGTAATAACCACAGGGTCCAAAAAGGAGAACTGGGAGTGCAGCGACCTGAGCTGCCTGAGCGCCTACAACGCGAAGGGGAGCGTGGAAGTTTCCTGGCGGGTTCCAGCAGAGGGAAACGAGGTTGGCTGCAGCTGCGTGGGACGCCTAGGCAAGCCAAGGGAGGTCACGTGCAGCTCGAGGGAAGTGGAGATGAAAATGGAGTCTCACAGTTTGGGCTGGAGGGCTCATTCTGAGGCTTCTTGCAGAGGTAACTGCCTGCGTGCTCCGTTTTCACCGCCTCTCAGAGAAAGATGGTCTGGTGTTTTCTTTTAATGAAACAAACACTAGCACGGATTTGCTGGATCCATGTTGTCGCCTTTGCATTTGAGACAAATTGTGACATAAGGCCTCAGTGTCACCTTCCAGTTCTGCCTGAGAGGCAACACACTATTTTGCTGAAGTGAAGCAATTTTCATGTATTCCTGCAGCTGTCTCTTCCACCCTACAAAACACTAAGCACCAGCTTCACGGTAGGTCTGACACCATTGCTGATGTCTTCCAAAATACTATAGGACTGAGAATGTTTTCATCTTTAATACTGGATGCTATTTAATTAATTTTAAAGAGATATTTCAAATACTGATTTTTTAAACACCAGTTCTCTCCATATGGCAGCCACCGCAGTGGGGAAGAATCATCATCCACGCAGGCTGGTCAGTGTAACTCCACAACTTCCCTGTACAGTCTACGTATTTTTATTTTCAGCTATTTTAAGGAGGCTAACAAGTAGGACTGTAATGTTGCATGCAGCATGGTTGCATGAACAAGTATCTATAACAACGCTTCATTTTGACTTTCCATTTCCATTGGATGCCAGTAGCAGTGACATGTTACAGCAATCCCGGGCAGATGATAAATGTCGTGTTTTCACATGTCTCATGGTTAACTGGAGATGTCTGGTGTCAGTGATGCAATAAAGCGAGGTCCAACTTTGGCTGAAAAAAGTATTTGGGCTAGTTTAAGAAAGCAGAATAGAAGAGGAAATAGCAACAACAAATACAACTGAAATCTTGCGAGCTGTTAAGTGCCTTGAGTTACCAGCTCAGGGTTTTCGGTTTTACACTTTTGATCGTTTTGTCCAATCACTCTCCACAGAAACAGGATGATCCAAGAACAAGTTGACAGATAACAGCCTCTGAGAGCATGGGGTAGGAACAGCTAGAGTTCTTCTTTTCTCCTGCAACAGAGATCAAATGAAAATTCATAGCAATAGATTTTTTATACTATTACTTCCAGTATTTAATATACGTGAGCTGAGGATGTCTTATTGCATGACCATTTAGTCTGACATTAAGGATTCAGAGATGTAAAAGTATTGGTTTTCCTTTCTTTATATTGAATGGGTTTTAAGGGGACATGGGAAGTGGGGTGCCCTGTATCCCCATTTCAAAATTTTGTAATAAAACCACAACTGAAGTAGAACAAAGAGGATAATAAGAACAATAAGTAAGTTTATGCTATAAAACTCTCCCCATTATAAGAAAGAAATGACAGAATTACCTGCCCTGCCTGAAATGTCAGAAGCTTTAAGAAACAGCAAATCTAGTTCTGTATCAGTGCTTCTTTCTGCTCAGTGGCTTTTACGATATCTTCTGACTTCTTACAGTGTTTAGGCTCACCTGGAAAATAAACAAATGTGATTGGGAACCTAAGTGAGGAAGTTACCCAAGTTAAGAGCAGCCCTAAACAGAAAGGAACCTTTTTCCCCTGACTTTTTAAAGGTTAAAATGAGGTTTAAGTCACTGCTTTCTTTAATTGCCTTTTCACCAGAAGAAGCAAAGGATTGAATTAACTAATCAATATGGTTTATCCATAAGGCAAAAGATAGAATGAAAGTAACAGATCACAGCATGAAACAGAAATATGAAGACATTTACATGAGTAAGTGTTAATAAAGTGGGTTTGGTTTTGGTTTATTTTATCTTCCGACTTACTGAAAGTCATAATTCACCCTCTACAGAGAAGCGCTGTTTAAATCCTCTTTAATGTAGGCTCTCAAATTGGGAGTAAGCTTCTCTCAGATAATGAAAGATGCCAGTGTAAAGTTCTAAGAATTCAATTAATTCAATCAGATATGAGAAATGACATGGAGTGACAAGAGCAGCTTTCAAACTAAGTGATACAACATGAATTTCAAACCAACAATCATAATATTAAGCTGTTGCTTAAACCCTTCAGTAATTTTGAATGAGTAGAGCTGAGGAAATTATAAACCAAGACAGAATGTAGCAAACTTACAGTGTTATTTACTGACTATATAGTAACTACTCATTTTTAACCAATAAAAATAAAAATACAGGCAGGGGAAGATTTTTGAAAGACAGAAAACAAAGGTGCAAGCAGCTAAAAGGGAACACATGATGTATGATCTGAAATAAAAAATGAAAGACAGTGATTTGAAGTTGACAAAGAGGCTCACAGTTAAAAAAAGGGAAAAAGAAGACAGGAAAGGGAGCTCATGAGAATAAGAATGAAGAAAAAAGAAAATTAATAGCTATGAATTCACCGTGGCATCACTGTAAACAAGTGAGAATTGCTACTGATTTTTCCCTTTTTCATTGGCCTGAATGGTGGCAGAGTGGGCACTGCCCACTCTGTAATGCAGCCACCAGCAGATGGGCCATATTCCCTCAAGCAGCACTCTTCTCCATCCCCCTTATTTTACATAAATTTAGTGTGGGTGGAATATAGACAATCAGTTCTCCAAAGGCTTGTAAAGTCTCAAAATCGGACTAACATGAATTACAACAAGAATTTCTCCAAATCTCTCAGCCTGCTGTTGTTTTTGGAGGGATTTAGCAAAACTTTTATTACTACCCATAAAAACAAAAAAGGGGATGGGGAGGGGTATGAAAGTAAAATCTATTGATCTAAATATTTAAATTTTGTACTTGACTTAAAGTGGCTAGCAGGGTTTTAGGAGCGGGACAGGAGTGGTCTGTGAAGGCCTTGTAAAACAAAAATTTTGTATGCTTAATTCTCATAAAATTTAAACACTGACTTCTAAACCATACATAACTTTCTTTCTTTCGATGCGTCAGTTTTTGTATGTGATAAACTCTGCCCTCTGAATGGTCACTAACGGCTGTTATTTTCTAATCCCTATCCTTTTTGTAAACACATCGTTTGCTCTTTTAATATGACCTTCCCTCCGTCCTCATCCCAAGTATGAACGCAGGTGCCTTCTCTTAATACCAGGGTCCTGATTTACTGTTGCTCTGTTTAGCCACACAGACCGTGCGCAAGGAAGACAAACAAACCAGGCGCCACAGCCGTCGGTGCCCGCTTTGCATGGATGCAAAGGGTTCCACACTCAGCTGAGCACCACAGGGCCACGGCGGCACTGAACGGTCACTAGCGTGTGCATGGCACGGGTGATTCTTTGATGCCACTTGCATTACCATAAATCAAACTGACATGTTGTTGATGTGGATCTGTCCACTGCTATTTAACCTGGTTACCCTCCAGAGGCTTCCAGTCACCGACTGCTGAGGGCATTGAATGCTTTGTATAACTCGATGTGACTGGGTAGTCCTCTACTGTCATACAGACTGAAGTTACTGATAATCTGTTTTATCACAGATTTATTATCTCCTTTACGTTTTGATATTAAGGATTAATGTGGCGATCATCATGAGTGAAAAGTTAAAAGTGTGCCAATTAGCATTTATAAATCATTGAAACATGGAGTTGTTTAATTAAACATAAGCAGTTTTTAAAATTAATGTTCTAGTTAATAAATCACTCAGGAGAAAAGGAAAATCACCACTTGAAAAAAAAATCACCTTATAATAGTTCCACTTAATCTTGTAACATGCAATTAAATGAAAGCGAGATGATGAAAAGGACAAAGGTATTGTGGAGAAAACCCATATTCAGTCACAACATGAGTTCTTGTAAGAGAGACCCTCTGGTTTTCCCTTCACACTGACCAGGACCCAGGGCAGAGCTAGTCCTGTTAATCAAATGCTACGAGAACTCAAATCTAAGTCTACAAGAACTACACCTAGAAAGAGATGTGATACAAGGGGAGAAAAACAGTCGTCTTTTCTTTTTTTAATGGGGACCTCCCTCAGCATAGTATATCCAAACATGCAGTAACGGTTCCCAAGAATGCAAATAGATCATCTTCCCGTGTTCCCCATCTCTGTTATAATTCAATTGCTTACTCACAGAAAACCGAACTGAGTTTTCTGCTTTTTATAAAGGACAGAACAACGACAGCTAACATATGACATTTCAGGCTGAATAATTATGTTGCTTTTCTTCTTACTTTCTACCTTATTCTCCCAGCCCCAGCACCTGCAGGTGCTTACTTCTCTGCCCCAGGAGTCAGCAACAACTCTGGGCACCACTTTAGCCTTCTACCCTCCATCCTCAGTACAGAAAGAACAGAGGTGCAAAAATCTAGCACGGAGAGTGCTAATAATGTCCTGATACATGTATAGTGCTTCTTAGAACACTCAAATAACTCTAGTTTGGGACGCAGGGAAAAAATGTAAGGTCAGGTGTATGCTACCTTCTGGTTGCTTAAATACCCTCTGATTGCTTGAAGTGACATTACATTTAAAATACCTGACCTTGGTTAAGAGAGTTCTGTCTGGATCCACTGGCCATCAACGGAGGTGCAAAAGTGAAGAGTGGGGATTCTCCCCATGCTGTATCTGAGCTGAGTGCTACTGCATCAAACACAACACAATTTCTTTTCACCGTCTTAAACATCACTTATACAGAGAAAAAGGAGGGGGGGTGAGAAAATAGAGGCTGCTGTGCTATTTGTAGTTATGAGGCTTCTACACACACCGCAGCAATGAAAACTCTTGCAGAAACACTAAGTATCTACATTTAGACAACAACAATAACAGTTTAATGGATTCCCTCCATTTAGAATGATATTAAATCATTTCACAAATGTGAGAGAGAAATGTGAAACACTTTAGCCTGAGTTTTCCCTTTGGTATCGAATATTGCAGATTATTCCAATACTAAATGCCTGAATTGTCTTTCTTTTCACTTATCTTTAAGATGGTGGCACAATCTCCGCAGAGGTACTTAAAGCTGCTGCTGAAACGCAATATTAATGTTGCCTCAAAGAGCCAGGACCTGAGTCTCACCACGTGTGTGCAGAAAGTCTGCTGCGCCGGCCCCCATGCGTGACAGTGGTGTGAATACCTGCAGTATACTTTTTTAATTGGCAGACACAGAAAAAGCCCATCACGTATGTCATTTATTTGCATAATCTATGACATAGTTGAGAAATTAATATTAGGTCTCTGCAGTTTATTAGAAGCATAAAATTCTGTGAAAGGGTCAGTGCTGACTTAAAAGATTATCGTATTTAAATAATATATAGATAGATTTCTCACTATATAGTAACACGGCTGGTTTGTCCTTAGGAAAGAAATTTTTAAGAATATGATGACATAGGCCTTCTAGTAAATAATTTCAAAAGACCATAAAATATTCAAAATATTTTTCTATGACATTTAAATATTGGGAAAATAGGGAAACAGGGGACAGGGAACTGCTGGAGGGTCCAGCAAAGAGCTACTAAGATGATTAGGGGATTGGAGCATCTTTCTTACGAGGAAAGGCTGAGGGACTTGGGTCTTTTTAGTATAGAGAAAAGAAGACTGAGGTGGGATCTTAGCAGTACTTATAAATACTTAAAGGGAGGGTGCCAGGTAGATGAGAACAGTCTTTTTTCAGTGGTGCCCAATGACAGAACAAGAGGTAACCAGCACAAACTTGAACATAGGAAGTTCCATCTAAACATGAGCAGGAACTTTACTTTGAGAGTGGCAGAGCACTGGCACAGGCTGCCCAGAGAGGTTGTGGTCTCCCACTCTGGAGACATTCAAAACCCGCCTGGACGCCATCCTGTGCAACACACTGTAGGTGACTCTGCTCTGGCTGGGGGGTTGGACTAGATGATCTCCAGAGGTCTCTTCCAACTCTGACCCTTCTGTGATTCTGTGATTCAGTGAAAATGCAAGAATGAAATGTTAAATTTAAAGTATAAATCAAACTATTTAACGACGCAAAATCAGAATGTAAATGATACCGTGACTGACCAATAAACCCCCACAGTGGAAGAAGGCTCAGTGGAGATGGGGAAGTCGGGTATGCCCATCAAGCTCAGCAGATAATGCAAGGGGTGACTGACCAGAGCTGTGTCAAAGAAAGCTGAAATCTCAACCCAAAGGGGAGCAGAGGGTGACCTTTGGTTTAGGTAAGCACTTATGTCAGTTCAGTGGATCCACTGACTCCACTATCACAGTTGAGGGGGCTCAATCAGTGGTGCAGATGTTTCTCCCGGAGTTCATTAGAATAGTGTGACTGTCTCCCTGAGTTAGCCAGGCCAGCATGGCCTGTAAATATGTGTAAATATGAGCTGCAAAAAAAAAGGTTCAGCCCAATATAGAGTATAAAAACTAAACAACTAGCAAAAGAATTTAGAAGAGAGCAATGAGCTTGAGCTGGCTTCAACCCGTGTATGCCTTATTGGTGACCGGGGACACCAGGCCTTGTGACGGTGAGCATATTCTAGAGATTGGTAACGGGACTCACAACCAGCACTGTCATTGAGCTGTGTATTGCAATTGCTCTATTTTGCTAA